GGTCGAAACGGTCAGCAAAAATGGTAAAACAACCCTTTCCTGTGTTAAAAAAGATCCAAATAATGCAATCAGAAGAAATACACACAATGAATACACAAAGGACGTTTAAAGAAACACCTGACTGCACATCCGAGTCTGAGAGGGTGAATAGTTATTTTACTAGTTTGGACTGAAAAAAAAAGGACAGTTTTTGATCATTTTCCAAGCAAATCTGGACAAATCTGGTCAGCTTTAGTGCAGTTTCCATGTCAGACTTTAAAGGTGTGGTTCACTGAAAACACATTTTTTTATTATTATTCCTGATTATAATCAGGCACTCTGAGTTCTTCATGCATGCTGAACATGAAAATAGTCTCTTACATCTATCTCCTACATTAGCTTCTGATAGAAAATAGACTAGAAAATTCTGACAGTGTGACATCACACTGTCACTTATTATTCATGAACTCACCCATCTTGACTCACAACGGGAAAGCTGTTGTTGGTTTAGCATCCAGGAAACCGCAGAGAACGTATTGGCCTAGTAGAAACTAACTGTTAGCATTAGCAACTCCACCGCATGGCAAAACTTCCCCATCCTTGTGCTAATGGTGGAGATAAAACATCAACATTGCAAGTAAACAGAGTCAGTGGTAAAGCTGCATTGCTGTTAGCCAAACAGATGCCAGATGTCAAAATATCAGGAAGTAAGACTCCAGATCCTGCCATCTGAAGCTCTCCTATAGAGCTCCGGACCCCACGTGACTCTCAGTTAGTAGGCGCCATATTGGCAGGTAAAAGAAGCTAAACAAACACGGATCTTAACCATGAATGTGAACGGGATCAGTTTGGATTTTACTTCGTCGGAGTTTACTTCACTCTTTAAAACTGAAGAAATCGTTTTATATAGTTAAAAATTAAATAGACCAAACATCTCCACCCTTACCGTGCCCCTAGGATACTTTTGAAAAACGCCAGAAGCTGTCAGAGTGGACTTCTTACTGGACCTAGCCAGGGAACCCCTTGGGATTTACCCGGAGGAGCTGGCTCAGGCGGCTGGGGAGAGGGAAGTCTGGGCCTCTCGACGCTACTGCCCCCGTAACCCGACTCCGAATAAGCGGATGAAAATGGATGGATGGACAAATAACAGATTTACATGTAAGTAGTTTAAATAGAGTGCTGTGCTGTTTGAATGTATAAACTGAACACCAAGAGAAATCACTAGTTTGATTTTTTTCCGTGAATAAAATAAATATGTCAGGCAGGAGCGTCTCAGGATCTGTCTGAGATCCGTCTCAGTGAGACAGATAATAGCAATCCAAAGTGCTTTTTATGTGTGATCTGACAATTGATCAATCATTGCTTAAAAATTAAATACAGCTTAGCCGGTTAATTGCTGTGATCATAAAACACGTAAACGGCAGCACGCAGAACTCACGAGGCAACGTTTTCTGTGACGTTTACTTGTTGCTATGAGTAATAAGACAGAAAAAGCCTCGCCAAAATAAGTTTAGGAAGCCCACTAAGAATCGTAATAAAAGCATTTACAATAAATACCATACACAGTTGAGGAAACGTTGGTTTAAGTACCTGATATGAAGTGGTCGCTGCATAAGTGAAAACCTTTACTCTCGGGATCCCACAGTTTCATTTTAGCCCGGTCTCTAGTGCATTTTATTACAATGATCCAACGTTTGCGGCGCTCCAGATCTTGGGGAATCCTGTAGATGGCTCATTCCTTATGTCGTCCGTGTCTGTTCTGCATCCTGGGGCACAACAGGAATCTACCATATTTCCTGTCTGATTAAGTTTTCTGACAATAACAAATAGTCCAGCTGCCGGCTTCTACCTGCCAATATGGCGCTGTTTCGATTTGAACTGTTGCATGCCGGGAGAAGTGACGTCAACTCCCGGAGCTCTCTAATCTGGCAATCTTTGAGATCCTGAAACAGGCGCACCAGAACTTTTTGTACAACTAGAGACCACTGCAAATGTATTCATTAAACAAGTAAACCACACCTTTAAAACAAATACATCCGGACAGTGTCCATTACACATGGGTAAAAGAACAGCCTCTTTGTAAAATGTTGCAAATCTCCTCACACAAGCTAGCCCAGTGAACTAGACCAAATTCTTGCTTTGCAAAGAATGGTCTAGGCATGCTCCATTGGAACCTCAGCAGCTCCTACCAGGACTCTGGCTAGCCAATCACAGCTCTCTAGAGCGGTTTCAAACAAATAAAGAGCTGTGATTGGTCCATAATGGTGGGCCAAGCATAGTGCTCTATCTGCTTAGTGAACAAATCACAGAGCTTTATCTGCTTTGTGGGCCAATCAGGGCACTCTATATGCCTGGTGGGTGGGATGATGCAACAGAGTGAAACAAGAGTATGTCACATTCATTGTCCAGTGGAATGCGGAGATCATTTGAAAGACAACGGTAGAACCCGCCCCACAACCGAGAGCCGTCAATGGAGCATGGCCAGACTAAATAATACATTTATTTAGTCTGGCTTGCCAGGCTACACACAAGCATGAAGCTTCAACGTTTTGCCACATATACCTGTTGGTGTTCACTTGGTAAATAATATTTTCACATTTCCCACAGTAATCATGAAAAAAGCAACAACATTAGGCCATTATTACACAAATCATTTTACACGGTCAGCGGCCTCAGTAGTGTGTGAAAGACCAATGCACAGTCACAACAGCGTGGCTTGTCCTGCTCATTGGTGGTCACCAGTTTAGATGTACTTTTCTGTGGAATGGCATCCCAGTCCTCAACCAGTAATGACCAAACTAGTGAACACAAAATACCAAAGCTCTCTAAGACTCGTCAGTGGATTATCAATCATACACCTGTCATTGGAACACACCTAAATGGTAAATGGTGTGTATTATAGTGCCTTTTTAGGGTTCTACAAACCCCCATGAGGCTTCTCAACACAATCATTCACACACCCATTCACAGGCTGGTGATGATGAGCAACGATGTAACCACAGCTGCCCTGGGGCGCGCTGACAGAAATGAGGCCTGCCACACACTGGCGCCACCGGTCCCTCCAACCACCACCAGCAGGCAAGGCGGGTTAGGGGTCTTGCCCAAAGACGCAACAGCAGCATTCTGATGGAAGCCAGGATTAAACCTGCAACCTTCCAATTACTGGACAACCTGCTTTACCTCCTGAGCTACTCCTGTCCCACCTGGCAGCACTTGAAGCTCAAAACCAACAGAACAATACTGCAGGAGATCCTGGCACGGTTGTGAGGGGAGCAGCCAACACGTTTAGCTTTGTTGATCATTCCAGGGATGGATGAACTTACGAGATGCACGCTGCAGTAAAGGTGACTAATCAGGCTTTCCACCAATATGAGATTTACTGCCATGGAGTGTTTCTACCACAAAGACAAAATAAACCAATTCATGCTTAAACTAGTTTTAATTCACATGTCTCCAGATCCCTTAACATTACAAATGTCTAGAAATTATAAGGATTTTTAAAATCACTTTATCTGCTGACACTAGCTGACATGCTCTGAGCTCAATTTGCTAAGCATTATGATTTATTTCAAAGAGTATAATCTAACTTCTGTACCCTACCATGTGATCATTTCAGCGCTCATTATGAATAAACGTTACAGTTCAAAATGGCAAAAACTCATGAAATTGTGCACTAAAGTGAACATTTCAAATGTCGCCTTTTTCTCTGTTGGTCTCCCCTTTGCTCACCAGGTCTTGGCAACTATCACACCTGCCTTGTATCTGTAATCTTTTCCATTGTCTTTAAAAATACTATCAGGTTGTGACATCAGGTCCATGTTTAGTTTCTGGTTTCTCTTCATTTTTAATAAGTCCTGATTTGGGTCCTGAGCTCACCTGCACCATGAGTCCACTGAATGAATAGCATGATCTTTTCAGTCAGATGTTTAATGAGCAACATAAATTGCGCAACACAATTATTAAGGCTATTCTGCATCCTACATGCTCCAGATGTTTAACTTGCATCTGACCCTGTTCAGTGATCTAATGCAACGATGATTGCTCTCCACACCTCTTTAACAGCTGGAACCTCTCTGCATGCCGAGCAGACTGCAGAGCAACTGATAATTCAAGGCAGCACAGAAGGTGCTCATACTCCACGCTCGGATGTTCTGCTGCACTCACATTTACACACCAGTCTTGGTATTTTTACAGCTTGTGGCACATTTGATACATTCATATATGCATCATGTCTGAATCTGCTATCCAGAGGAAACTAGAAGGAACTCCTCATTATGACAGGCTTCTCATTATGATTATTAAATCTACTCTTTTTTGTCACTTTTCTCTTCTTCACTCAATAGCTCAGTTTTATTTACATCACTCTGCATAATGCGTGATAGCACACAAGCCCCTCGAGGCTTTTTTATTACATAAACCTGTTGCAAGAGGAGCCATGGCACCACTTAAACAATATTCATCAAAACATTGGCAAGCGTCTGAGTGGTTTCTGCTGTGATGGTTGAGTGAAATCTGAAAGCAATTACTGGTTGTTTTAGAACTAAAGGTGTTTCTAAATATGAAAACTGTTCAGGAAATTGAGTCAGAAAATGTCCACAAGAATGAGAAAGGAAACTGCTTTCTCTTGGGGGTAAAAAAAAGCGTTCTGCAGGGCCAACCAGCATGCAGGGAGGGGCCCCTTTTATTGAAAGCTCAGGGTGAGTCATTGAACCTGAGGATGTTGCAGCCGGAAAAAAATTTGCAGCATACAGTAAATTATGGAAATCAAACTATTGCATATTTGCTTAAAACCACCTGGGGAACAGAAATAGTGATTTAAGATTGTTAGATTGAGAAGGAAGCTGCATTAAAATTAAAGATCACAGCTTCTGAATAGAGAAGAAATAAATCAGGCACGAATGAATCTGACTTGTGTCATCTTACTGGTATCTTACTTGTGATTTCCATCATTTATTAAATCAGTTGTGAATTAGAGGGGAGATGGATGCAAAGTGGAGGACCCTGTTGCTCTCACAACTCACCGCTTGCATTCTTCCCACAAATCAGGTGCTGCCAGGGCTGCAGAGAGCCCCATATTTCTGCATCACCGCTGACGGCCTGCTCCAGGAGCTCCACGGTGAACTTGGGGATCCCGTTGTCGCGCTCCAGGAGCGCACTGCGCAGCACCCGCGCGTACACGTCGCGGAAGAGGCTCTCCATGCAGGCAGCCAGGTAGATCGCCGCGTGCTCGTGGATCCTGACCGCCACCCTGCTGTCCACCATCCACCTGAAGAACTTCCCCACATTGAAGAGGAGCCCGCAGCGCGCCGACTTGCCGCGGCTGAACTTGTCCTCCTCCGTGCTCATGCTGTACAGGGACAAGGCACCGACGGCCGCACTGATGCAGCTCATCGAGACCGTCCACGACAGCACGATCTTTGTGGCACTTTGGATCTCGTATTTAGTGCATTTGGCGTAACGCAAACTCAAGCGCTGCGCCTCCTTGGCGACCCTGACCAGGACGCGGCTGACCAGCACCGAGAATCTGTGCAGGACGTCCTGCGGGGGGGTCGGGAGGCTCATCTCCTTGTCCTTGCTGAGTGCGCTCGCCACTTCCCCGAGGCTCCACGGCACATCCTCAAGCTCGGGTAGTTTAGCGCACTGCCCGCTGCACTCCAGGATCTCGGCGTCTTCGACCAGGACCGTGTTAACAGTGTCCAGGCTGTTGTGTCGACTGTGCATGGAGTCGGTTAAATGCCAGTAATTTCCCCCATGTGCCTCTGAGCAGCACAGCGACGCACTGGAAGATCTGAAGGAGTCGGCGGCTCCACCATAACCCGAATCTAGCGTCAAATCCTCCAGGGTCCTTGCTACTGACTTGCTACTCCTAGCCATATCTGCACTTCATACTGATAAAAAAGAAAGATTTGGGGAAAGTGGAGGAAATGTCTAAAGATGCTGAAGTAACGAGCACGCACCTTGCAGGAAATCTGCTCACTAACACGTTGTTTGACCGTACTTAAAAGGAAAGTCCTCATCCACGCCTGAAAAGTTGGATTGCAGTATTTTTACTTCAGTGCATCAACAATCTCTCAGTGCTGTATACCAGCGCAGTGCCTGACAGATGGAGGCGGAGACCTGGAGGACTGAGAGCAGCTGGCAGCCAATGAACTCTCGGGGAATCAAAACCGCAAAGACTTTTAATTGGATTACTTTAAACGATCAATAAAAGTAGATTATGCAGCTGACGATTAAAAAAATAATTGAAACAAAACGAAAGTCACGGATAAAAGGTGTTTGTTTCTATGTTTAAGCCAAAAATCCAACGAGTCAACAGAAACACGTGAAACGATTTAAGAGTAAAGTAAAAAAAAGAAACAAATTGCAGAATAAATATCGTCGAAAGCAGATGTCTTTGTGTGTGTGTAAGCCAGGGGACAAGTGTGTATCAGGCATTTCAGATATTCTAAAGGCCAGGGTCCATGTCGGATCGTAACATGACTCAAGACCATTAATAATAGATTGCATGCATAATGTATCCCTGTTGCACTGGAGGAGAACTCGTTCAAAAGATCCAAATTACTTTCAAGGACATTTGCTGGATCACTCACAGGTCTGACACTGGTTTTAGATTCTTCCTCCATGGACGCGAGTGTTTGGAAATGGTGGGATGAGTCGCAAGAAAACTATTAAGACGCAGAGAAAAGGTAAAGCATCGAGGTCAAGAGCAAGGATTTTCTGCAGAAGGAAAATAATCTGCTCTAAAACACACTGAGAGCTTCTCACCGAGTCCCATTTTATATTGCAGATAAATTAGGGCCATCTACAGATTGGAGTCTTTTTGGACCAACAGTGACCCCTAGTGTTGTGAGGGAAAACTGCATTTTATTAGACATTCAAAATTAATTGCAATTGACAAGTTATGGATTTCAATTATGAAACCACAATAAATTTGCCTTTTAAGTGGACATTTAATGCAAACTAAAGGATATTTCGGATTTTTGAGAAGTTGAGAGCTACTGGGCAATTGGTTTCTTCTATCAGTTGTTGATTGTTTTTTGAACAATATGAGAAAAGGAGGTTTGACTAACATTTCTCATCTGCTATAGATTAAGTGGGACTAGATGTGTCTAATCTTAAAATGGCTTCAAATATTTCATAGCTACTCTTGCAAAAGTGGTTTTACTAACTTTTGAGCAAACATAAACATAAACGGGGTTGTTCACGTAGAATTATTTCACAGTAGAAAAACATGCTGTGAATCTTGTTCAAACATATCTGCATCTGGCTGGAATTTTATAAAATTTGCATGAATTGTTGTGCCATTTTAAGAAAATAATTGTTTAATTGAAAGCTGTGATCTTCATCCGACCAATGGCATGAGCAAGGAGGCGGGCCGTAAACGGTTTAGTTTTTTGTGTGTTTTGTGTTTTCTGACCAGCCGAAATGGCGGCCTGGAGCGTCGAGTAACTTTATCGCACAATAATAAACAGAACAATATATGGAGGTTTAAACAACATAACATGGGGACAGACTTCACGGTTATGTTTCCAAGGCTCTAGTCGGGACACATTGTTTTAGCCACTAAAGGTTAAAAGACTGATTATGGAGGATCCTCATACACGGTACAGCAAACGTTTGCGCACAGGCACGCGTCGCCGCCATCAGGATGAAGGGATCTCAGATGATGAAATTGAAGGCAAACGGATGTTTGACCTGGATGAGAAGCTGCAGTGTGAGAGGTTTGGCTCTGAGCTGGTCAAACTTATGGAGGGTAAAGATTTCACGTATGAATACATACAGAGGGACGGGCTCCGGGAACCCATCATTTTTAGGAAGGCTGATGGTCTTGGTCTACAGATGCCTGATTCTGACTTCAGTGTGAGTGATGTGAAGTTGTTTGTTTGAAGTCGACGAATCGTAGACGTGATGGATGTAAACACCCAGAAGGGAATTGAGATGTCAATGGCTCAGTGGGGACGCTACTATGAGACACCACCGTTTGAGAGCGAGAAACTCTACAACGTCATCAGCCTGGAGTTCAGCCACACGAAACTAGAGAATCTGGTCAAGCGACCGGCATCGGGGGACCTTGTAGATTGGGTGGACAACATGTGGCCTCGCAATCTCAAGGAGCGACAGAGAGACTCCACCAATGTCATCATAGACATGCATTATCCCAAAGCCCAGAAGTACTGCCTCATGAGTGTGCAGGGATGCTTTATGGACTTTCACATTGACTTTGGTGGAACTTCAGTCTGGTACCACATCCTGCAAGGGGCAAAGGTGTTCTGGCTGATTCCACCCACACCTCAAAATCTGGACATGTATGAAAACTGGGTTTTAACAGGAAAGCAAGGAGACATCTTCCTGGGGGACAAGTGTTACGACTGTCAGAGGATAGAGCTCAATCAGGGCAACACCTTCATCATCCCATCAGGTTGGATTCATGCAGTCTACACCCCACAGGACACTCTGGTGTTTGGAGGAAATTTCCTTCACAGCTTTAACATCCCCATGCAGCTCTGAATCTACAACATAGAAGACCGTACTCGGGTGCCAGCAAAGTTCCGCTACCCATTCTACTATGAGATGTGCTGGTATGTCCTGGAGAGGTACCTCCACTGTCTGACCAACATCTCTCACCTCACGCCTGAGTTCCAAAAGTACTCTCTTCGTATCGGACTGACCCCCTCTGACTTGGAGATTAATGATGTCTCCATGGACGAAACTTCAAATGGGATCAACAGTGACTCTGAAAATGAAGTTAATGTCACCGAAGTGGAAATAAAGAAAGAAGAAATCGAAAAACAAAAGCCTCAAGTTAACACACCTCGGCATTTCCTGACCCCTTTTGAGTTGGAGGGCCTTTGGAACCTTTTAGGGAAGCTGGGGGAGCTTCCTGCCAACAAAAAGTGTGTTCCTGCTGGGATTCAAAATGCAGCAGCCCTGCTGGAGGACATGAAGGATGTCCTGAGGAATTGTGCATCTGATCAAGTTAAGCTAGTCTACACTAGGGAGCCTATTGTCAAATGGCCAAAAAGGCCATCAAGGTACCAGCCTTCTGCTCCCAATCCACCTGCACCTGTTCTTTGTCGTCCTATGGGCCCGTCCCTCCACAAGTCCCAGAGACCCACTAAAGGAACTTCAATCTCAGCTCTGAGGCGCAGACGAGTCAGGTGCAAACGTTGTGCTGGCTGTCGCAGGAAAGAGTGTGGTGCACAAGGTTCTGAGGGTCCCGGTAGAAGGAGGCCCAGTGTATACGGTGGCACCTGTTGACGATGTAAAGAAGGTGAAGAATGTGCACTGGGCTATGCTGAAGCCAGTGGTTTGGGCTAGGTCACCTGTTGAGGTGATTGCCTCTGGTGGACATTCAGCGGAACAGGATCAAGTGGAGTCTTCTGAGGAAGATGACTGGGTACTAGTGAGAACAGGCCCGTTACAGCATACCCAGGCCAGGGCGGCTTTGGTTTCCCAGCCGGCTCAGCTGTTGCACCCTGGAGTTCAGCTGGATCAGGAAATGCCTGGCTCTGGTGGGGTGCAGGCCCCTGTGGAGGATTGGCCACCGTTGGCTGCGCCATTGACACAACCTGAGGTCTCAGGCGGTACTATCGTGCGACGGTCACAGCGTACAACAGTGGGGCGGCACTCGAATGTTCACCATCTCCTAAGGTTGGTGGGTGGCTCTGTGTTACAGCTGGCGGTGCCCCCTGATCAGTTGTCTGGTGCTTGGAGTACTGTTTTTAGACCGTGGACTTAAAGGTGGGGTTAGATTAAAAGTTTTAATCATCGGGACGACGATTTCCTGAGGGGGGTGGAATGTAGCAGGATGAGGTAATCTGCTCCTGATTTTGATAAATAACACCTGACCCCGCCAGTCACCAGTAGGGGAGCTGTGGGTATAAAAAGCACTCGGGCAGTGTTTCCTCCCTTGTTTACGGAAGTAGCTGCACTACGAAACAGTAGCTGTATTTTGGAACAGTGGCAGCGTAAGCTGGATGCGTGTGGATCGCGGTGAGTATTCTGATCAGCTGTTAAAAAGCAGATTGGTGATAACTGATATAGGCTACATACAGACAGAGGCGACATTTGGAAACCTGACGAAAGCTGTAACGTTACCACGTGCTGTTGGAAAAGAAGCGTGCTTGCCTTCTAGGTGATCTACTGCTGTCGGCGTGGTATGTATGTGCGGCACGCCCCCTCCCTGCACGCTCAGTAAGAATATTCTTTTCTGGGTTAATAAGGTTTATTACCTTTTTTTAGGACCCGAGGTGTTGTGGTGCTACGACAAAGTGTTTTGAGTCACATTCTGTTTAGTACCAGCAAACCCATCCCACCTCTGCCACCGATGTGACAGTGTGCATCCTGTCACAGTGTCCCGATTGATCATGCGCCCTGGCTACTTGGCCAAGGGGATGTCCCTTTGGCTGATTAGAGCATATGACTCTCACCCGGGAGTCTGGGGATCGAATCCCGCCTGGGCCCTCCTTTCTCCACCCTACATTTGGCGTTGTTGGCAGGATCCATGTAGCACTGTCAAGTAGGTCCATGGATGTGAAGTTTGTGGCACCCTGCGCGGGAGCACGAGGATGTGATGTGGCAGTGTGTGTCCTGTCACAGTGTCCCGATTGGTCATGCGCCCTGGCTACTTGTCGGGCCCTCGTTTCTCCACCTTATCACATGTAACTTACTTATCGCCATCAGGATCCATCTTTATTTATGACGCAATTGTGGTAATTTTTCTTTAGAAAATTGTTATACAGCAAAAACAGTTTTAAACCATGCAATTTTATATATTATTAGGTAATTAATTTAGCTCTTCCGGACAGTTTGTAAACAAAATTCACGTGTTTGTTTATTTTATTTGTTCGTGCATAAGCACATGCGTGTCCTAGGTCAAATGAGGAGCACGAGCGCCGCGCACCACTGTTACATGCCTACAGTAGATTTCATATCATCACTAATTTAACGTGGCTTTCAATAGTTGTCCCTGCCATGGGTGGGCGGGAACTCTTCTGAATGGGGCTGCTACCATCGGCTGCTATATAGTAGCGGTACGAACGCTACAACAAATCAAACGCACCAAATTGAGCTAGCCGCGCCGTGCGCAGTGTGATCATCCGGGTACTTCTGACTTCGCTACATAACTCCAACCCAGGCTTCCGATTAGTGGCTTTTAAAAGATATTTCTGTGAGTTATTTTAATGTTTCTCTACAAAACTATGAACTACAATTCAAACTTTAGCAAAAGTATAACCGAAAAACCACGTGTGAGGGGTTTAAAACCACATTTGAGGTTATAGAAGTAGAGGAAGGGGAGCACATTATGGAAACGTGACTGCTTCCATGTTGTATAACGGGTGTTTCTGACCAATCAGAGCGCTCCGTTCTTGTTTTGTTCATGTGGGCGGGGTTGTTGATGCAGTGTGGACATTTTGCGTGCTTGAGTTTACAGACGTAGTAAAATTTCCCGTGTTTACTTTTTTGTTCTGTTCCGCTGTTACAGGCGTTGTGTAAGTTCACTGTAGCCTACGTCTACAGGCAGATCGGTGTGAGACTTTCGCGTCGACCAGTCGCGTGCGTGTAGTTGTGGAGCTCGCCGGAGCCTCGTGTGTCATGATACAACAATAATATTTTTACTCGCCGCCTCTGGCAAAACAAAAATACTGTTAGCTGAGTTCTATGTTGATATGTTTAATTAATCGTTTATACTAACACTGACGGGATTTTCGTTTTAATTAGTTATCCTTTGTTCTTTCCACACATGCAGCCAGCGCTATATATTAATGTCGATGTATTAACTAGACTCAACATGGATCAACTGGAAATGGAGCAAGGCTGAACTCGGACAAGCTTTTTTTTTTTTTTACTCAGCTGGGATAGATTATTATTGTTGTTGTTGTTTTTGTTTGGACTGATCCAGCCCGTTTCACTTGACTACACCGACCTAAATAAAGAAGGCGACATGGTGGTCAACACCATCCACTGGTTCAGGAAGGGACTTCGGCTGCACGACAACCCGGCTCTGAGGGACTCGATCCGAGGAGCGGACAGCCTGCGCTGCATCTACATCCTGGACCCTTGGTTCGCAGGCTCCTCTAATGTGGGCATCAACAGATGGAGGTAAAGGAGGGGATAGCCGACCCTGGAGTGGGGGAAATAACGGAGTTTAACAAATAATACACCGTTATTAGATTTAGTAGTAAACAGACCTTGTCATATGCGTCGTCTGTCCGCCCACGTGATTCATCTCATCCTGCACGTTTGGAAATGACTCGATCATTAGTCTATTTTCTCAAAACTTTACAATATTACTTGCAATCTTCACTGATGAATAAATCCTAAATACCAAATATGGCATGTGGCTAAATGTTTACATGTCTACAGAAACTTTTTTAAAACATATTTTTGTAGATTTAAAGTTAGTTGTTTTTGACATATACCATATGTCATAATTACAATTTAACAACAACAAGCAAGAAAGCTGCTTGGACCACACCAATTCATAGATCACCGTATTCCAATGAACATTTTGATTTATGCTGCTCACACAATTTACATAAATATGTTCAGGTCTAATGGGTGATCTCTCGCAATCTCACCATGTCATCACTGGGGTTCTTCAGGGTTCACAGATCAATATAACTACAGCACAAACAATAGTTGGTGATGAGAGTTTACCTCATGTGCAGTAAACCGAGGTAAATACTCAGAAACGTGTCAAATTCTGATAGGCCAAACTTGGCCAGAAATCATAACAAAGTTGTTTAATAAAACAAGAGTAATTCAGTTTCTCGCTGACACTCGAACTGGCCAATTTGGGAATGAAGCCTTTTTGATACCATCTTCTCCTTTGACCTCCCGCCAAAGCCTCTCTGCAACGCTGCGGCTGATACCAGACAACCGGCTCTTCTAAGAGCCAAGCAAACATCAACATTAGACGCAAATAAGCATTCCAGCTTCCTGCCTTCACCTCGAGGGATCTCAGACTGGACGGGTCCTATCAGAACTGGCTACAAGTTTCCTGATATCAGAGGTTCACTCCACCGGCAGTGACCATCGACCCTCCGGATCTCACGAGAACCTCCACACCATGGGTGCATAGACTTGACAGGACAGATTGCATCTGATGCTAAACTAATAAACAACTCTCTAGTTTAGAACCAAACAACAAATTCTTTTACACCCAGATTTCACAATTTCTCTCAGATACAAGGAACGGTTGCTACAACATCTAGCTTCCATCACAACACCTCACATCCACCATATCCCATCTCATTATTCATATCTTGTCATGTATAAATTATTAGTTTAGGAAAAGAATTAAGTTCATTTTATAAACTACATACTGACTTAATACGAAGTGTGTTTATGGTCCCTGAAGAAGCAAAGAACCCTAGAATCTTTTGATTAAACATTCAAAAATCAGATTGATATTTCATATTTATATGGAATAATCACATCTTATTGGTCATAATTAATATGTTTTAATTGCTACAATATGTATATCACAGCCTTGGTTTCTCTATGACGCAGACTGTGTGCACTTTCACTACAAATTGATTTAACTTAAAATCAAATTCTTTTGTTTCAAACCCCTCAAAACAAACATCAGGACTGTTCTTCTCTTTCAGCCACTCAGAAAACGTCATTCATCTGAAGGTCACGTCGTGCAAATTAGGTCAGTTAAATCCCTCACCAGTGTTGAGATGAAGCATTTTTGTTAAAGACCGATTCTGATAGAGGTGATCTTCTCCTTTGGTGTTACTGCACCAGCCAGACAAGTACGGGGTCACTGCAGAAGAGCGCTTCTTTTACAGAAACGTGTTTAAGGAAAAAACATAACGCTCCGTGTGCAGATCCTAAAGCTTTATACAAATCAGTCTTGCACGGTAAAGTCACGCGACGTGTCGGTGAACCACCTTTTTAACTCGTGACTCTGATCATGTAAAAACCAAGACAGGACGTTGAAGCTCAAACAGCTTGGACCATTGAGGTCCTGCTGAAGGCTGCAGGCTGTGATTTTGCTGCCTAACAACCGTGACCATCATGGTTCTTCCTTCTCCCTAAATCTGCTGCTCACTTGTGAATGAGCGGCTGTCACACTGGGCCAGAGTGTTTTTATGCTCCTTATGTGTGCTCGACTAGCTTTAGTAATCATTAAAATAATACATTCACCAAATCTCATTAATCTGACACCGTGCAAACGGTTGGTTTAATACATTTTAAAATTTTCCTGACAATGCTTTCAAGTATTTTATTGCATTCAATAATAAATCACAGGATTACTTTATTGTATGCATTTTCTAACATTATCAGATCTCCTTCACTTGGAATGGATGCTTAATGATTTGCTGTGGTTGGTTTTTTCCAGGTTTTTGCTGCAGTGTTTAGAAGATCTAGATGCCAGCCTTCGTAAACTCCACTCTCGCTTGTTTGTCATCAGAGGCCAGCCTACCGATGTCTTCCCTCGTCTTTTCAAGGTACAATAATTAAGGCAGAAAAATGCAGTTTTCAAAACGCTTTTTAATTAGAAAGCAGTGTGATTACATTGGAACATTTAAATTCAGTGCCACTTTGACTGTAAAGAGCTATTTTTGAATTATACACACCCGCTCCGACAAAAGGTGGCTATAAAAGCATCTTAGGTTAGCTGGTTACTGTTGGCTATGGTGGTCCAGTGGTTAATGTGTCTGCCTGAGCATGCTAACCACGGGACTACCAAGTCTGCTACATAACACCAGTCGCCTAAGGTTTGGTTTATGCTTCTCCGTCAGCTCCGCACGCATTGACAGAGACGTTCTGCTCTCGGGCGTCTCCGTCACCTGGGGAGTGTTGCAAAGCAATTCCCCAGCAGGACAACAGAAGGCGTAGTGCTATTCTGTGGTATCCTGCTTCTATTACATTCATGTATCCAGTCCACAATAGTGTATTTACTAGTGTGTTTCAGAGACTTTACAACACGGACAAATTTGTCCTTCGTTCTCCTCCACCTCTTCGTGCAGCCGCCACCTCTAAACCATGGGGCGGTGCTGTTGATGAATGTACAGGACCAGTCACAAGCTCTCAGCCTCCATGGCCTTTGATGTGTATTTAAAAATTTGGGCACGTGTCCGTCATCCTCTGTGAGCCTGCCGGAGAGCCCTTACGCCGACACACGGTGGCGTTGCGCGTCTCCGCACCGACGCAGGCGAAGAAGCATAAATTAGGCTTAAGCCATCCGGTGCTGGCCCGAGGAGACCGGTTTCAGGCGACTAACTTCCAGGAGAGGAGCAGGGCCTGATGACACGACTATTTAGAAGCTTTACAAGATTTTCTAAGTAAAACTCTAAATTTGCAGCTGAAACAGAAAAATGCACAAAAAAATGCACGTTTGGGTTTTTTTTTTATTTCCATGAGGAAATAATATCACGTGGTAAAAAGCTCCAGAAAGTAGATTTTCCATGACACGGGCCCTTGAACTAAAAATGCTTCTTTAAACTTCACATCTACACAAACAGTAAATGTATTTATCTTTATTACTGTTTTACTTTTTTTTAGATTGCTCAGGATTTTTGTTTTATAAAATATTACAAAGAACATCAGAGCAAAGGTGAATAAAACTTGTGAACAACACACATCACACGTGCCATACATCATTAATAACTGTGTATTATTATACCACTGTTGCTCAGGAGTGGCAGATCACACGTTTATCTTATGAAAATGACTCTGAGCCGTTCGGTAAAGAGCGGGACGCCGCCATCCAGAAGCTAGCCAGCGAGGCCGGTGTCGAGGTCATGGTGCGGATTTCACACACGCTCTATGACCTGGACAGGTGAGTTTTACTCTGAAGTCTCGTGTCGCTAAAATGCGGACTTGCTTTGAATCTTTGTTTCTCCCCTGAAGGATCATTGAGCTTAACGGCGGCCAGCCTCCGCTCACGTACAAGCGTTTCCAGGCTCTAATCAACAGGCTGGAAGCTGTGGAGCTGCCCGCCGAAACCATCACGTCTGAAACGATTCAAACCTGCCGCACTCCCATCAAGGATGATCACGATGACAAGTTCGGGGTTCCTTCGCTAGAAGAGCTTGGTGAGCCTCTTTATTTGCTGAGAATCTGTGGTTTTTCAAAGTAAAAGCACTGTTCCGAGATCTCCCAGCTCTCTGAAAAAGAATAAAACTATATGAAAAAGGAGAGTAAATGTGTGGAACATAAAAGAGTGACTTCCCCCTCGATTAAATTGCAGTGTGTGAGTTTTATCTCAATGGAAAATTAGTCTTTTGTTGCTTATAAAATGCATTTTATTGTGTTATTTATTATGTAATGTTAAAAACCTAAATTCTCTTGATATGAGGGGTCTGCTTCTCAGCTCTGGTTCTGACGTGGGTCTGCGTATGTAAATGATGAGCTCTCTCGTTTAGTCGGGAGGTAACAGCTCTGTCCGTCTGACAGGTTTTGAGACAGCCGGTCTCACCACCGCAGTGTGGCCAGGTGGAGAAACAGAAGCCCTCATGAGGCTTGAGCGACATCTGGAGAGGAAGGTAACGTTGATTGCATGCTTCAAAAAATGGTGGAAATAAATAAAAAAATAACTTATCTAGTATTTTATTTATTTAAGCCCTTTTTTTAAATCTAATTTGAGGTTATTGTTGTTTTTATGTCACAACGGACTCCGTTGCAGGCATGGGTGGCAAACTTTGAGCATCCACGTATGAACGCCAACTCCCTGCTGGCCAGTCCCACCGGCCTCAGCCCTCATCTACGCTTCGGGTGTCTCTCCTGCCGTCTTTTCTACTTTAAACTGACTGATTTGTACAGAAAGGTAAAAAAACATCATCTAATTGTTTAAAGCTAATGAAACTATACAGGTTTTAACTCTTCTGATGTCATCAGGTGAAGAAGCACAGCACTCCGCCGCTGTCTCTGTACGGCCAGTTGTTATGGAGGGAGTTTTTCTACACAACCGCCACGAACAACCCCTGCTTTGACAAGATGGAGGGGAATCCTGTGTGTGTCCAGATCCCCTGGGACCGAAACCCAGAGGCGCTGGCCAAGTGGGCGGAGGGACGAACGGGTTACCCATGGATCGACGCCATCATGACCCAGCTGAGGCAGGAGGGTTGGATCCATCATTTGGCTCGGCACGCTGTGGCCTGCTTCCTCACCAGAGGAGACCTCTGGATCAGCTGGGAGGAAGGCATGAAAGTAAGAACTAGAAATAGCTGCAGTAATTGGATTTTTGCTGGTTTTGACCATGTGTTTTTTTTGTTTACTGCAGGTGTTTGAGGAACTGTTACTTGACGCGGACTGGAGCGTTAACGCTGGCAGCTGGATGTGGCTCTCATGCAGCTCGTTCTTCCAGCAGTTTTTCCACTGCTACTGCCCCGTGGGGTTTGGTCGACGCACAGACCCCAGTGGTGACTACATCAGGTCAGGCCTCACGCGAATAAATAAAAACTCTCCCTGTTATACGCTTAAGGTGTTGTGGCGCCTTTTGTTTTCCCCCACATTCTTTGAAACGGTGAAGTACAATCTCATGGTTCACAGGCTACTTTAAGGTGAGGGGTGGGGGGTGGGGGGGTTTGTTAGTCATGGGGTGTTTCTCAATGTCAAGGAACCTTGCCTTGATGTCTTGGCCCGCCCCGGTTGCCTAGGAGATACGTCATCAGGAGCCGCCAAGACGTGTTCCAGTCGGTTCCAACGTTCATGTTCTACTGAGGCGTGTGTTCTCCGTTTGTTAGCCGTTTAGCTAGCTGAGCAAGGATACACGGGAGGTGTCTAGTAGCCTAGCCTTGGCCAAAAATTACCCAGAATACACCGCGGTATTTTCAAAAAGACGGCGGATCAGAAGCTGGCAGCTACTTCGGGACAATTTTCAAGTTTAAAAGTAAGTCAGCTAATTAAAAATGTGTTTTTTTAGATCCAAAGAAGTTGTCTATGGTTGGTTAGTTGCTTAGTAGCTGCAGCTTCACTAGCTAGCGGGTAGTAACTCACTCATATTTTTAATTTAAGAAACAAATACCCCTCCCACTATCCTAATGGGTGTGACCCCGCGAGGAAAGTTGGCCATTGAGCAGGGTTGATGGTTTATCCGCTGAGGTCCATGTGGCAGGGGTGAGGAGTGAGCACCACCTCACCCCTGCCACATGGACCTCAGCGGATAAACCATCGATCCTGCTCAATGGTCAACTTTCCTCGCCGGGTCACCCATAAATACAGTGCGAGGGTTAAACAATTTAAAAAGGTAAAAGGCTCGTTATATATTTATACTGAAACTAATACGTATAAAATACAACGTTATCTCCGGTGTCACGTGACCGCCGTGGAAGTCGCGGTCACGTGATGCAAGTCAGCTCCATTTAACCGTTTTCTTTCACCAAGGAAGGACAGTGTCCTTGCAAGCAAGGCGCCTTGACATGGAGAAACACCCATGGTTTCATCAGAATTACAAAAATGTGCAGCTGTTTGAGATTTTTCTAATTTCACCTGCATTTGTGCAAATATGGTCCATCTAACAGCTTTCAGTTTCATCTCTTCATTCTTTTCTTCTTGTTTCACCAGACGCTATTTACCAGCACTGAGGGGTTTCCCTGCCAAATACATCTATGATCCTTGGAATGCCCCTGAGGAGGTGCAGAAGGCAGCCAGGTGCATCGTAGGGACCCACTACCCCCGACCCATGGTGAACCACGCCGAGGCCAGCCGCATCAACATAGAGAGGATGAAGCAGATTTACCAGCAGCTTTCCTGCTACAGAGGACTCTGTAAAGACGGATAATAAACATTCTGCATGGAAATTTAACAATAAATCACAAAATAACTAGATTTATTTAGATTTCAGGTGTTTTTCTTTTTATGTTAGAGAAAATATCTGTAACCTATTTTTTTTCATAAAAAGTTGGATTACGTTTTAATGCTTTGTTAATGCTTTGCAGGGCTGCTGGCAACAGTACCAGTAAATGCCACCAATGCTGGAAGAGTGGACACGGGGACGGGTCAAGGTCCTGGACGGTCCTCTGAAGATGCGACTGGGGAGGAGGGAACATCTCAAACAGGTGGAGCGAATGCTTTTTTCTTTTTTTTTTAAATATATTTCCTTGACAATCATCACACACATAACTAAAACTTGCACCCACGAGATCTGAGCTGTTTGCATCGTGATCTCTAATATTTGGCCTGCAGGATGATCGTTCACACTGAGCCATTGTTCTGCTGCCAAAGAGCCAGATATAAAAACAAAATCAATGTTTTGAACCCAGTTTTCTACACTGTAAAAACGTGTTGTGTAAGCCCCAAAAAGGAAAACTGTTTGATTAGGGATGCGTCTCAGATAATCTGCGTTGTGCTTCATTGCAGAAAGAAGACAGTCGACGCAGAAACGACGCCATGGAGACACCGAACCTGAACGCAGCTCTAAACCCTGGAAGCAGAGCAAATAGAAAGTGGGTTTGTGTCACATCCGTTAATAACCGTCAGCCTGCTGAGAAGAAAAAAGTGTTGGATCGATAGTTTTTGTGGTGAAAATAATTATGAGTAAAAAAAGAAAAGCTCTGAAACATTTTTACTACCAAAACTCAGCAGCAGCTAATATCTGTTGCGCAGATAAAGCGTGACAGATTAATCGACGAGGTCGTCGGGAGAGACGTCAGTTTGCGTAACAAGTCTACAACCTTGTCTGTCATCTGTTTAGATGTGAGATAAGGAACTTCTAAGAGCTGTAAGATCTCAGAGAGGATAAAGAGACGCTTTGTTTGAGTCTTTTCTGTTTGTGTCGTGAGCAGCAGCTTGTTGTCTTCCACTGCAGTGTCTAGTTTTATTAATAATGTCTTAAAAATCCAACATCAGTCATTTAGCTCTGGTTTTGGTAAACAGAATCAGATAATACTGTCCTTCAGCTTCTGAGTGGTGAACAGGGACACGTGTCCCCCTTTGGATGATCCACTTGGGTCAAATGTCATTTTTATACAAACTATATGAAGTTTTGAATGTGCATACCTTTTTTTTAAAAAGCTTTCACAAGGGTTGATAAATCAGGCCGTCCAAAGTGTTGTGAATACTTTAGATTTTAAACTTTTGTATATCTGGTTTTGTGATTATTCCCTTTTTTTGTAAATATTACTGAAACACAAAAATTCTAATATATGTCCTTTTTCTCTCCCTCTTGAACGTAAATCTATTTTATATGAAGAGCGATCACGTTTGTTTGTATAATATGGCAATAAAAGTCAAATGATTCACATTTTGTGTTCTGATTTTGTGCCGTCACGTCCATCTTTACAAAGAAATAGCAATTCACTTCCTTTTTAAGTCAAACTTGTTTGATCAAAATTGCAGATTGAGATATTTTACAACGTTTTTGTCGATAATAAACCTGAAAGTGAGGCACACAAAACTAAATAAGAGATTTGGATTCTAATGTTTTTAATGTAGTGTTCTTCAGGCACTGACGAATAGACTTGATTGGTTATCTGATTCAAACTTCACATCGCAACTCATGTTTAAGGAAAATAGGCTGAATTTATATTTTTGGATCATATAATCTATTGTGATCAGTCACAGATGGTGAGATGTTCTGTAATAAGTCAGCCCATTTCTGTCTGACTTTGTTGTATTAGAATATAGTAAACATGAAAACAAGAATCTTGTTTTGGATCACGTTGGATTCGTGAAAATCTTCAGCAAATTTCATTTGTCTGCAGATCAGAAATTTATCTTTAGTTTGAAGAAAATGTTGTGCAGCCATACAGCGCCACAGATACAGAAAATGATCATAAAAGATGGATATCCTCCCCCATCCCATACTGGTTTCAGCACCATGGTTGTAATGGTCAAGCAGACATGACATACAGAGAATCAGCACCAAGGACAGCTCTGGTAAACAAGAGCAGCACTGGTATCTATCTATATCTATCTATCTATCTATCTATCTATCTATCTATCTATCTATCTATCTATCTATCTATCTATATATATATATATATATATATATATATATATATATATATATATATATATATATATGAGAGAGAGGCCTGTAATTGTCATCATAGGTATAGGTATACCTCAACAATGCAAGACAAAATGAGAAAAATAATCCAGAAACTCACATTGATTTTTATGACTTCCACTCACTAATAATTGCTCTCACTGTTGATTTCTTCTCACAAGCTGCTTACCTATTGCAGATTCTTCTCAGCCTGGTGCAGGTCTACAATTTTGTTTCTGGATTCCTTTGACAGCTCTGTGGTCTTGGCCATAGAAAAGGTTGGAGTGTGAGTGTTTGAGGCTGTGCACAGGTGTCTTTTATACCGATAACGAGTTCAACAGGTGCCATTATTACAGGTAATTAGAGGAGGAAAGAGATGCCTCTTACAGAAGAAGTTACAGGTCTGTGAGAGCCAGAAATATTTCTTGTTTGTAGAAGACTAAATACTTATTTTCCTTCATAATTTGCAAATAAATTATTTTAAAATAAGACAATGTGATTTTTGCATCCATCCATCCATTTTCATCCGCTTATCCAGGGTCGGGTCGCGGGGACAGCAGCCTAAGCCGGGACGCCCAGACTTCCCTCATCCCAGCTACTTGAACCAGCTTTTCCGGGGGAATCCCAAGGCGTTCCCTGACCAGCTGAGAGACGTAGTCCTGGGTCTTCCCTTGGGTCTCCTACCAGTTGGACATGCCCGAAAAACCTCACCAGGGAGGCGTCCAGGAAGCATCCTGACCAGATGCCCAAGCCACCTCAACTGGCTCCTATATATATATATATATATATATATATATATATATATATATATATATATATATATATATATATATAGGAGCCAGTTGTATATATATTGTATTATTATTATTGATATATTGTATATATATATATATATATATATATATATATATATATATATAAAATTAAATTATTTAATATAATATTAAATGACAGCTCTTTTTTACGTGAAGCACAACTGTTCAAAAAAATTTTTTTACATAATTATTATTATTATTATTGTTATTATTATTATTATTATTATTATTATTATATTATTATTTTTTTTTTATTATTAGACTTTGTGATTTTTTTTACGTAAGCAGTCGGCCCGCCCCCCATAGATGAGTCACGTTTCATTGTAAAAATGAAGAAAAACGTGTCCAATCGCAGCAGCAGCCTCGGTGGGCGGTGACAGCTCGTTCCCAGCTGGATTTAGATTCCTGCTTCTCGGTTTGACTCCCTCTTGCAGCTGGAAACGGAGATGGGGGAGAACCGGGAAAAACGGAAACCAATTCGCCTAATCGCTGCTGTCTGTAACAACCGGGGAATCGGTAAAAATGGCCATCTGCCCTGGAGTTTACCGTAAGTCCGAGAATGTTGCTCTATTGAGATTCTTTTGGATTGAGATCCTATTGGATTGAGATTTAGATTTATGAATGTTTTCTGTTGAATACAAGTTGCTCCGGATAACATTTGCAATGTGTTTTATTCTGAATTATCTTAATTATTCCAGAATATTCGTAAAAGTATCTAAGAAACATATATAAATTATGGACTTATCAATGTGCTAAATAGACAGTTGAACCTTTGTGTGTTACTGATGCAGTTGCATATTACTTTCGCTGACCCGTGAGTTTATTGGTTTATTACCCGGTTAATAAACGTTACTGCACAAAGCCATAAATCAAAGTCACCTGTAGCTGCTTTATGAGACCAGGGCCTCTAACAGGTGTATTAGGCTGCATTCTTGGAAAAAGTCAGTAGCAGATTTTTCCTCCACAGGTCTGAATTTCAGTATTTTCTGAACACCATCTCCAGAGTTTCTCGACCAGGTAATCATTTAAAACCGACAATAAACCTGAGTGATATGATGTTGTAATTACTTTTTTATTATTCTGTAGGTAACTTCAATTTGATGATTTGGGGACGACACTGTTGGAACTCTCACCCAGAAAACATCTACCCACTGCCCAACTCTCTACATGTAGTCCTGAGTAAAACACTAACGTGAGTACAGACACATCTAGAAAATCCAGATCCAGCACCAAACCAGTCCAGAACTGTATCTATCGTTTCCTGCAGAAATGTCCCAAATTACGCCCACTTCTTGTGTCGGGACTTTGAGAGCGCAGTCCGTCTTGCAGCTGAGCACCCCCTCGCTGACGTCATAGAGACCATCTGGATTCTTGGTGGAACGCAAGTCTATGAGGTGAACCAGCTAAAGCATCTGCTTTTTGACATTTAACACAGTTTTACACAGTTTTGTTTCATGTAAAAAATTATAATATTTCTTCTAGTTCCCGAATTTGTTGTGGAATAAAACATAAACGTACAGCATCACCTCTTTATCACATAACATCTGTTTCTGCTAACTAAACTGGATTTTTCACTTTTAACAACAGTTTTAGCGCCCTCTTGTGGTCGGTATTTGCAGCAACAACTGCTCAATCGTTCTAAAACTCCTTTTGTTTTTGTTTCTAGTCTGCATTTGTTTAATTAACCACATTAAGTAACAAATATTCACATCAATTCTTACCTAATTATCAGACTAAAAAGAAAGATATTTTGCAGTTTTGTAGAATATATTTGATATTTTAAATACTTTTGAGGAGCACTTTTCTAGTCTTTACAGGTTCAAAATTCACCATTAGTTGCACCAACGTGCCTGCTGACCTCTCCTCGCCTTTGGGATTAGACTTTGTCTTTGTATAGCAGGTCTGAGCTCTCATTTGCCTCCCATGATTGCCGGCTTTGACAAAATTCCACATCCAATCAACCAAAACAATAGAATCCATTCTCAGTTAAAGTGCATTCAAGCTAAAGCCTCATTGTGTTCATACTGAACCATTTCCAAACACTTCTTATAAGTAAACATCCCTGTGGGGTTTTTGATATTGTAACCCCTGAGTTGAGCTACACCTGAGCTAATTTTTAACAGGCAAGTTGGGTGCTTGGTAGTTTTTGTTTGTTTGTTTGTGATTTTTAACAGTATCATGCACTAAACTCAAATGAAAAAAACAAAATGTTGAAAAAATTGAAATGCTTGAAACACAAGTTAAACATTAATGTAGTAAATTATGTAAATGTTAATGTTGAGATAATTATTTTTCCTTATAAATTTACATTAAATAATTGCCATATTATTTTTGCCATGACAGACTTTTAAACATGAAGTAACATAAAAAATGTTTGTAGCTTTTCTTCTTTACTAATATTTTTAGTTTTTATTTACTGTTATTCATCCATATTATGCTTAAAACCACAAGAAATCAAAAATAAAGATTTTAATTATGTTCCAGATTGTCAGAAATACTAATTATATCACTAAATGTTCATAAACAAATGGGCCAAGAATGAAAACTGGGATGTACAGAAATGCACTAATTTGTCTATATGATATCTTATTTGGAAAAATTTGTTGTATTTATTGTGGTATGGCAAAAATGAAATTATAAAAATAAAAAATAACGTTTTTCATATAGTGCCTTTCAGGATAAAACTCACAAGCACATTAAATTAATAATAGAATTTATTTTATGCACCTTATGGTATTTTATGAATGTGACATAATTATTTGTAAACAAACAATAAATAAAATTACTACTTTTACTAATTAACCTGTTAAAGTTCAGAATTTCTGCCTTTCCTTCTTGTTTTTGGTCACCAGGACGCGTTGCAGCACCCGTGGTGCGACCTGCTCTACCTGACGGACGTGATGGCCGACTTTGACTGCGACGTCTTCTTCCCGGAGTTTGACAGAAAACTGTTTCAGCTACAGGAACGGTGAGTTATCTGTCCATGTTGGTGTTTAAAGAGGAATTCAACTCGGGGCAAAAAAATGTTCCTCCTCTTAGAAACTCACCATCAGCACAGCTGTGAGTTGTCAGAGCAGCTCAAAGGATTTGCTGACTTTACTGAAGCTTTGAAGAGCTTTGTTGCTTTCATTATCATAAATTAGAATTGGAAATGAGTAAACTGGTTCAGTCAGAGTGCAGCCTGTTCATGGTGTTAGTTACAGCAAATGATCCCTTTATATAAATAAGAATATGAGGCTGACTGACTGGTTGAGGACATTTTTCCACAGTAAAACACTGAATAAAATCTAAGTTAGATATTTTTTGATTGTTTTCTCTCTCTTGATTCCACATAAGATTTCCTGACGTGCCGAGTGACATTCAAGAGGAGAACGGCATTAAGTTCCAGTGCCAGGTTTTCAAGAAAGAAGCTGCTGATTCCATTTAAATATTAAACATAATAAAAAATGACATTTTCAAAAACACATATGCAAAGTTGACTGTAGAGATTTTACTTGAAAGCTTTTTGTTTTTCTTCTCACGGGCAGAGGAAACACAGAAAAGCTCACAGCTCTTTGACTTCAGACAGTTTAACTAAAACAAATAGATGCAATGAAACATTTTTTCCACATTTATTTATTTTATGCAGATAACGCAATAATCTCTGGTATAAAAAGTGGTTTCTCGCTGCCTTCAGCGGTCACCTCCCAACTTCTCTGTGTTTTTCTTCTCATCCTCCCACGCATCCATGTTGCAGCTGCACAGAATAAAGTTTGTCAGTGACTCAGTCAAAAGTAGCAAACAACCTGCTGCTTTCCTCGTCTTACAGCATCTCCGCATCTGTCTGAGTCAGCAGAACAGAAGTCAGTTTATAGGTTATAAGTAATTAACCTGCTCTTCATTTTTCATATCACTGTTTCTAAATAATAATAAATGTAACTCACATAAACAAAAAACAAAATGTTTTAGCTAAAAAAAATTCTTGAAAATAGTTTTTTTACATTTTTCTCAGAAAAAACTATGTATAGAATATTCAACTGAAGAAATTAATAATGTGAGCCACTTTTAATAAAGAATATTATTTATTTTGTTTGTGTTTCTCACTTTTGGCCACTAGATGGCAGCACCAATGAGACAAATTATTCAAAGGTGATTAGAAATGATGTCATCAGAGCAATGATGGATATTTGTGGTTAATTTGGAACAAATCAAAGCAGTCCAACATCCATCTGCTCTATTTGTCTTGTTGAGTCCTAACAGACCGGCCCGCCTGTCTGAAGTTGCAAGTGGAATATTCTGGCCACAGGGGGTGATGGGCGATAGGTGGCCTTTCGTTAACCCTGTTAAGTGTCATTTTAGCACAAACTGGCTCAAGAAAACCATTTAAAAATATGAAAAATTTGCGAACTATCCCTTTAATGATACACATTATAGATTTTATTGTAACAACACCTACTTCCAGCTCATTGTTGAGGTTTTACTTTATTTTCCACACATGAGCTGCATTGCTTGGTTCTTTTAAAACACAGAAAAGCTCTATGAGACTCTATTTAGGGGTTTTCTGTGTGAAGCATTAATCAGGTTTGAATGCATCCTTGCTTACTGCTCCTCTTCTCTCCTTCAGGTGCATTTTAGTAATTGGGTCATTCTTTGAAGTGTGTTGCTGAGATGACATATTAGATCACAAGCAGAAAAAATAATGATTTAATCTGGGAAAGTCACCAACCTGCTACCTTATGTATTTGTGAGACGATCCACCTTGCCAAAGATTTTTGTCCTATTCCAGTTATTCAGAGAAGTGCCCCTCGTGTATTTAACCGATCATTCTTCGAAACATCTTCTCTGAAAAAGCCACTTTACTGTTTGACTCGGTGGATTTGATTCATCTTAGAGATAGTCTCCTAAATGGTCAGTGAAATGATAAAATCAGTCATGAATGAATAAATGACAACAACACCCAGCAGGCCCGTGACAGATGAGCCGTTATAGAGATGTGAATCTCACACGCCGGTCAATATAGGATCTTATTTACTTTTTGTCATTGAACGTCCATCACCATGACATTTATGTCCCTCCTGCTGCATGTAAAGTGTATTTGTGTCGCGTCGTTGGTGTACAGGAAGGTTTTGGAGATGAGCAGTGACAGAAAACAAACTCTACAAATGGAAAAAAGGGCCGTATCAGCTGACGACACGGGGCTAGTCTGGTGGTTAAGGTTAAAAATGCACCCGCGAATTTGGTTTGAACAAAGTTTTTATTTATTGTCTTTGAGTTATAAAAGATCAGACTCACAACGTTTGTTTTCTTCTTTCTGCTTTTGGGCATTCCAAAGATTAAAACAACAGAGACCTATTGAAAAGCCTCAGTTTGGAAAAACAGAGATTAGTTCTGATGAGCTAACAAGTCACAATGAGGCCGGTTGATCAGAATTTCCATGGTGGTTTATGCAAAATGGTAACATTGTTTAACATGGTTTCATTGCATAAATTTCACATTTATTTAGACAGAATTATTATGACATTTATAAAAGTGTTATAGTTTATAAATCTGCAGGTAATTAATCCTGCAAACAGTCACAGAATTTAATGCAAATTGTTTTTTTTTCATATAGCTCTGTTGAATTCTGTTTGAAATAATAGTGTCATGTGAAATTCCTGGTGGCTTAAGATTTGCAGCAAAATTACTTTATAAATACATATTTATTTATTTACTTACCAAACACTTTTACCCTAATCGACTCACAAATGTAAAGCTACAAATGCAGCGAACAATCCAAACCTGTACATTTTTGGGCTGTGAAAAAAATAGAAGAAGAAGAAGAAATAATCTTTTATATTGCACCTCTCATGATAAAAATCATGAGGTTCCTCACAAGCACAAAAATAACAATAAAAATACAATAAAGATAAAAAATGCGAGGAAAGGGAAATAGAAAATGAATAAGAAAGAGGTAATCAGTGGATGCCTGGAAAGGCAGAGTTGGTAGAAAGTGTTGAATGAGGAGAAGGTAGTGATGAATAATCAACCGAAGGTCACACCAACGCCAGTCTGAACAGGTGAGTTTAAAGGAGACCACCGAGTCCACTGATCTCAGGCTCAGGGGGAGAGTGGTCCAGAGTCTGGAGGTCCCAGCTTGGTGCGCTGCACTAGGCTTTGGTCACTGGACCTCAGGGACCTGCTGAGGGTGTAGGGACTGAGAAGATCACCAGTGTAAGATGGTGCTTGTCCATGTAAATGAATACCGGAGCACCCAGGGAAAACACACGCAGGACGGCGCGTGGGATTCAAACCTGCATCCTTCTCGCTGTGAGGGTTCAGCGCTGCTAACTGCACCGCCATCAACTCGAACATCTAGTGACACTTCTGAGAAAGAATGCAGTTTAACACGTCAAGGTAGAAGTTTTGTATTTTTGTCATGCCACAGCTAAAAGAATGTTACAACATAAATCAGTAGCTCATCTGTCTGGCTCGTCCAGAAAAAATAAATTAATAAAAACTATTCTGCCGTAGTTTCAGATCAGCACATGAGGTCACGTGTTATCGTGCTGATTTTTTCCGCAGACATCATCTGCTTCTGTAGAGTTTTGACCCACAGCAGTAATAAGCTAAGCGTGGCTAATATCAAGCAATGACACGCTGGAAATAAAGAACCACTCATGCACCCTTGAGTTAACCTCCATAGCTTCTGAGTGATTCAGGAGCTTTGCACGGAATGACACGGATAAAGAACAGGAGGGCACGGGGTGAGAAACAGGCTGGGTTCACATTTATTCACCTGAGGCCTTGACTTTTCTGATTAACTCATCGTGTTTATTACTTAGTATCAGTTGGAAGAAAACAACCTTGCAACATGATGAGTCAAATCAAATGCCGGTGAAAATTAGAAACCTGCAGCACATCAGCTGAATGTTGTAGCCCCTCCGGGGTTCCGTGTGTTTTCCATGGTTGGGAAAAAAAGAACTGTAGTCAGACATCCATCTGCTGAGCGCAAATTCATTACCAGATGCACTCAGTGTCGCATCGCCCGCCCATTGGTCATCGCCATGACTACGGGACCGTGGTGAGTGATGCCGACGGCAGCAGATGGGAAGTGGAAGTTGTTAACGTACGCCACAACTCCGGACACACAAACACACACACACCCTGTCTTTGTCGTGACCCCATCGCGAGAGCAAAGGGAACCTTGAGGCATAAAGTCATGGCTTCATTAGCTGTGAAGTTCACTCTCATTAAAAGCCACTCTTGGTTTCAAGGGCTTTCATCGGCTTCGGAACATAACGGCACATTTAAAAGCACACTGGGAACATCCCGACATAGCCCAGTATGGGTAGAATGGTTTTTATTTAGCTTTTAATACAACGAGCACTCACCCCAACCCTTTTTAGGCATGAACATAAAAAAAATCACTTTTTCATTAAATAATTGATTTGATTTTTTAATCAAGCCACAAAGCGTGCATTCAGATGAACCACTAGTGATCCACATCTCATCATGTTGGTGTTTGAATCCATTCGAAGGGAAAACTAAGTGACACTTTAGTAGCTTATAATAAAGCGTCTCCATCTGTGGAGAAACAATAAAAGTCAAAGCTCTATTTCTTCCCCGAGGAGAGCAGTCGTGTTGCCAAGAACAGTGTGTGAAAACGAGACTCTGGCGGTAAATAAAACATAGAAAAGCCTCGGTTAAATTCAATAACACTTTTGATGGATGACTCAGCGCATCTGTCATCCTCCAGGGTCATTTTGTGTAACTTGTAAATAACCTTTGATAATGCATTTTTATTTAAACAATTGTACCATTTGGACCTTTGAGCTTGTTTTTCTTACCATTTTAAAATAAAAAGCAGAAAATCCTAAAGGAGAATGTCTGATCTTTGACCTTAAAACAGACAATTTATGCCTTAAAGGTGGAATTAAGATTACCAAATAAAATAAGAATCTTTGACACACATTATCAGCTATCACAGATGCCTGGTTAGTTAACGGAGACAAAATAAAAATAAAACAGACTGCATAAACGTAGTTTTAGCAAATGCAACAAGACCAAAAAGTTATTTTTTAATAGCATTTTTTATTGTGGCAGCAGAGAGATAACAAATATGCTTCATGATGCAACTTTGGATTATTGTAAAAAAAAAAACAACTTAAATAATCAATTTAAGAAGTTTCAGGATTGTTTTGAACCTAATACTAATACTTAAAGTAACAGTGTGTATTTTCCGTGGCGATAGGGGACAGTACATACCTAAATCACTGCAAGCAAGCAGTGTTTTTGTGTTCCAGAAAAACGTAACCAACGGAAGGTCATTAAAGTCGAAAAATCTCTGGGAGCACAATTTCTGAACAAGTACTTTGTCAGATCATTCAACCTCCAGCAAAACAACAAGCGCATCAGACTCATTTTCATCATTGGCAACAAGTGAAGAGGTAAATGTGCTAAACAACAACGTTTATGAATGGCAAAAGTTTTTTAACCGTTTGTTACAAATCAGTAAATGCATTGTGTCCTCATGGGCTCCCGTAGAAAGAAACATGGTGTCTAATATGGCACCGCCCAGAGACTTAGACCAGATTTTTATGGTTATATACAGTAATCCCTCGCTACTTCGCGGTTCGTTCATCGCGGATTCGCTGCTCCGCGGATTTTTTCTTTGGAGCATTTTTCAGGGGGAATTTGCAGATTTGCGGTATTTTTCACTGATTCGCGGTATTTTTCTATGCGAAATATCAAGAAATTCTTGTTTTTTTTTTCATCAATTTCATCATAAAATGCACTTTTTGTAATAAAACTAAAAAAAACAAGTGGTTTCACAGACGCGGAAGTGATAGCGTCGGTGAAACGCCGGCTGATCTAGGAAACCCCTGAGCGTTCGAGCGTCAACAAAGTGACACGGAAATGCCGGGCTTTCCAGAAGTAAGATAACTTACTATGAGTTGATAGTTCATTAGATTGATCGGTAGGTTGGAAACTCTGATCATGAATCTGAAGAAACGATGACTGAGTGGTGAGCTGGAAAGGCGACTTCCGTTTATAGCCGCGGTTTGTGACGTAGGTGTGACGTGGAGGGAATCCCCGCGAGGGGCATGCTGGGAGTCCCTACTTCGCGGATTTTCACCTATCGCGGCCAGGTCTGGAACGCATCTACCGCGATAAACGAGGGATTACTGTATTACAAAGCTGCCCATATTTTTCAACAACTGGGCATCGTTGAATTCATTTTCAACGACATTTTGATAGATATTTCCCAAGATTAATAGTAAAAAAAAAAACAAAAAAACTACACACTGTCACTTTAAAAATATCTTTAAAAAACTAAATCAAATGTAAGACACCCTGACTGTTGTCATTTGAATTATTTTACCTGTAGAAAGAAAACAAGCCAGCAGCTCATACAATAAAGTGATGGACAGAATTGCACTTTTAAATTTAAAACACCAGAAATAAATCTAAAAACTGATCAGAGCAGAAGGTCTCATGCATTTTTAGTCCAACTGTCAGTCCTCTACTTTTAACGGTGCCACAGGATTAAACAGTGGTCTCTCTCGCCGAAGTTGCAGTTTCCCAAAACTCATTTCAAAGTCCTTCTTGGTGCCGTTTAGAACATCCAGACTGCCTGTTCTCACATCATACCCACGAGCCGTCAGTCTCTGGATACGATAATTCACTATCTGTGTGGTCAGCTCCAGGATGGTTGGAGTTGCTATGATCTGAGACATGCTGATCCCAGTGCTGAGGAGGCCCTTAAAGCGCTCGGCCAGCGTAGAATCTGGGTAGTACAGCAGAGCCGGACACTTCAGGATAATGTGCCTCAGTTCTGCTTCGGAGCAGCCGATGGTTTCCTGGGAGAAATTAAGGGAGCGACGCATGCTGTCTGGGTTCAGTTCAGTAACAAAACCTTTAAGTTTGGAGAGAAGATGGAGGAGCTCTGCAGTGCTGAAGCCACTGTCTCTCAGGAACACCAGATTCTGTTTCAGCACCTCTGGTGACTTGAGAAAGACAAACGGATTCTGACTCAGCAGCTTCTGAAGCCAAATTTTCATGTTCGCCTCTTCACCGCCGAGCTCCTGGTAAGCCTGCTGAAGGGTGGAGACCATCAACTGGTTCTGCTCCACAGGCCGACTGAAGCTCTGTGGAGCGCTAGCCATCAGTTTGGTGATGATGCGCTTGTTGAGGTTCAAGCTCTGAAAGTAAGAAATATTATTCCTCTGGTTGTCATGGTGATTGGAGGAGGTAAAGAAGGAAGCCGGGAATTTCTCAATGATCCCAATCAATTCTCTCTGGTTCGGACACACAGACATCCACAACTCCATCTGAGTCTGCATCTGCTCTGGATTACACAGGATGGCTTCAGGATGGACAGCTAGAACGTGAGCGATGATGGAGCCCGAGGCACCCATGTCCTCCAGCAGAGCAGCTACTTCCTTAGTGTAGGCTGGAAACTGATGTAGCACCCAGCCCTTAAGTTTCCGAACCTTTTGGATGTCCACAGAAAGCTCATAAAAAGCCTCCACAGTCTGCTGGTTCTCTCTAGGACTGAGGGTCCCCCATGCCCTGACATTTAAATGCAGAGTTGTTGCATGATGGCATTGAAGGCACAGGGATGTTGCAATCACACGCAACATGAATGCACAGTCCTGCAGCTTCTCAGACCCTGTGTGAGGTGACATGAAAAATAAAATGTATAAAAATCATTTATCAGCAATCTTTATCTCCATCCTAGCTGGTTTTCAATTCAAGCTAAATTAATTATTGCTCTGATATGGGAGATCTTACATTTTCCTCTGCAAAAATCTCCAAACTCTCATCAGAATTTTATGAAACTAACTAGAAACACACCGAAAACCAGTTTTAAACTGTATTTTTATTTGTCTATAAAAACAGCGTCACAACAAATGAAAATGTAAACAAAACAGACACATCTGGAGGAATACTGCCATCCAGGGCCGATTTTGAGCCAATACTTGAAGGAACAAGAATGTGGTTACACCACAAAAATTGACCTAAAGTTACCTCTCTATTTGTCTTGCTGAATATTGTTTACCTGAGGCCAGTACAACACACGACACCAAGCACTGCTGCAAATCTAAGCACATAATAAAGTAGTACTGCAATTCTGCTTTATTTTGCCCGATGTATGTTCAAAAACCATATAAACCATTTAAAGGAGAAAAGTATAAGTACTTCAGCTCAGGATTACTAAACATGCTATCACGAGCTGATTATTTTCTGTTTTTGTTTTAGTAGAATACATTAAATAAACAATAATCATTCAATTATGACGTTGTGCAATTCAAACTGCCAAAACATGCCCGGATTTCCTTCACAGTCTGCTTTAACACAATAATGAATAAAATTCACTTAATGCACCATTTATTGTTCACTGTGAACTCAGCACACCATGCAGGCACCTGCCCCTACCGCCCACTAGCTGTTAAACCTGTAGCGATTAGATCTTCCGAGTAAACGTCTTCCAGCAATCAGCCATCAGCTTTTTAATCGATCATCTCAGGTTTAAACTCGTGAAATAAATCCCATAAAACGACACAAAGGGTAATCCTTTCTGTCAGAACTGTCAAAAAGAAAAGCAGGCGCAAGCTTGATGTTTAAATGCTGTTTGTGTAATAACATGGAAAGCACCATTTTGTTATGAATCCACTCCGCATACAACGGCCTCAAAAAGAAGAACAAATAGCCGAATACAACTTCCAATGACTCCGAAAGCTGAGTTAAAACATGCTACATATTTAGCTTCGAAGCTAACAGCTAGAAAACACACAAAATAGCTCCAAAACACCGCTGACAGTAGTCCAGCTGGAGCCCTATCTACGGGAAACAACATTTAGATCTGTCATAGGTGTTTAAATGTGTATAAATCAAATTGTAATTGGATGTAAAGTAGAAATTTTAATAATTACCTTTAGATAAAGTCACCGGATGTGGCGTTTTGTTATGAAAAAATGCGCTACAGTTTACGACAGCGACGCAAGGCGGTGACAAGAGTTACTGCAAGGAGCTGCAAAGCAGAATTAAAAAAGTAACGAAGAATGAATAAAGTTTGAAGGAGAAATGTAATAGTTTTGTTAAATCCTATAAAAATACATTGGTTGAAACAATTTAAATACTGTTTTGAATGAGAAGCTAACTATGACACAAAAAGCCCAGACCACATTTTGTCTCATTCATTTATAAGTTGAAGCTGTAATAAAGCAGTTTATTATTTACATTGCATTTTAATTAATCAAATACTGTTCTCTAAAGTTCCCAGCTTAATTTTTGCTATTAAGACTTTATTTTCCACAATTAAACTTTATTCCCATAATAAATGTATCTAATACAGGATAAATAAAAAAATCCATATTCCTTCCTGTTTCCTCAGTACCACTCCCCTTATCATAATGCTGCTTTATTTCCACCCATATGTCCAGTAATCAAATAATTTCGTGGAAGAACCGGTACCTCAAACAGCAGTTGGTGCAGCTCCAAACCCTGCAGCATAAGGGGCCCTGATGAGAGTAATCAGCGCCAGCCTGAATTGGACTGAACACATGGAGAGTCTTTCGCAGTTGGTGCTTAATCATGATGCTTGATCACCGGCTCTGCAAGCTGTTCCCTCAGCAGCACAGGGTCTGCTGCAGCTGACTGACTTTCGGGGTTCATTATAGTTTATGTACTAGTAAACAGATTATTCCCCTCAAAGGAAAACAGGTTGGTGTTTGTATTTTAATATCCAGTATGTTGAAGAGGAAGGATCTGGACATTTTACTGTTATAATAGTTTGTCCCTTTCCGATAAATGCTGTACGCCGTAACAAAAGGAGACAGTTTTTCTTTTTTCTTTTCTTTGCCGTTTCGAGTTGCATGACTTTCATGGGAAATAATCTTTTGTTTTCTTTAGGGAAATCACAGCAGCACATCTCAAGAATCAACAATGTCATTCCACCGTCTTACATTTCCAGTCAACCTGTTACCTGTTTCAGTAGCCTGTAATGACAAATGTTTATCGAGGAATCTGAAATCTAAACACATTTTAAAAAAGAGCGAGCCAAAGTAAATATACTGTAACAACCATTTTGTGCTGACAGGAATATTTTTGTTCGTGTCAAGCTGCTTTGGCGAGTGAATGGTTGGAGTGTGACTTATCTAAACAAAAGTACATTTCCTCATACTTGCAGGGACTTTATCTATAAACAAAATCTTTTCCAACAACACTTTTGTTACAACATGGCAACCGGCTAATAAAACAGAAGCCAATTAATCTAGACCAAAGCAAAAGATTTTGCTCTGCTATTTGGTCTAGCCACGCTATCCTCAGCAGGTCTACCAGTGACTTGCTCTGTTTTATGTCTGGCCAATCACAGCACTCTACACACCAGAGCTGTGGTGGAGAAAAACTATAAAGATGGCATCCACAGGGACACTTAAAATACATTTGGCATCAACTTCAACAATTTAGACTTGAGCCTTTCTTTTAATTTATTTGGGGTAAGGATGTATTTGCTGTTTCTTTGACGATGTATGACGGACTGTCCCGTTGACTGAGAATGTCACGTTGTTCGTTGCTCCGATTGGTTCTATTGCTGTCGACTGACTTGAGGAGGCAGTTTGAAAGACAGCCAAACATTACGCTCCATGACTGGGTGCACACTCATAAATTAAAATACAGAATTGTACCTTTAGGGGTACAATGTCTTGTCACTGGGGTGGTACCCTCAAAGGTACCATTTCGTACCATCAACTCTGGGTCCAAATTTGTACCTTTTTACATGCCAAACCCACTAGCCTGGCCTGCCAGACTCCTCCTCAGTTTAATTCTGCACAGAGAAAGAGTCTGGTAACTCACAGGCAGAGAGGCACTTGAGGGGCGGGACTAGGCAGCTCAAAGTAACCAGTCAGAAAAAAGATGGAAATCCCGACTGTACCGCAAAACGCTGTAGTTTTCTAGCTGTAGTAAAAAAAAATAGCGTCTGGCAACGGCGCAAACATCATTTTTATTTTTTAGAAGAAATGCTTTTAGTGCTTCTACTTGTGGTTTTAACGACATTTGAGTCGTTTAGAACAGAGGAAAGAGCCGCAGTGAACTCCGCCGCTGTTTTCGCTGTTTATGAGAAAGTGAGCATCGCCGTGTGTGACGTCCGCAGCGCTGTAGTTTTTTAGCTGTAGTCAAAAATGGAGTCTGGCAACAGCGCAAACATCTTTCTTTAGAAAAAAGGCTTTTAGTGCTTCTACTTGTTGTGTCCAAGTTATTTAGACCAGAGAAAAGAGCCGCAGCGAACTCCGCTTCAGTCGCCATGTTCGACAAACTCGGTGTTGTACAGTGGCGTGTCCAGATCTTTTAAAATGGGGTGGCCCAGGTGAGGCACAACTTTGTGCATGGGTGGCACCAATGGTTGTGCTTTTTTGTTTTACCCCCAAGCCTTTTGTGGACAATGAAAAGCCTATTTAAAGGTAAATTAGTGTGGTGGCACCTGGGGTGGCCAATAAGATTCCAAGGGTGGCATGTGCTACCCCAGGCCACTCCCTGGACACGCCCCTGGCGTTGTGGTGTGTGACGTACGATACTCAGCGCTGATTGGCTCGGTTAGAAATCTCACAGGGAGGAGTTATTTGAAGAGGAGAGTTACCAGACTCATTCTCTGTGCAGAATTAAACAGAGGACGAGTCTGGCAGGCCAGGCTACAAACCCATACCTTCGGTAACTAATTTGTATCTTTAATTTAAAGTACAAAAATGGAGGACATGCAGAGAGAATGTAAACATGGGACCTCCTACTTACAAGTCAACTGCACTGACCACTACACCACAATGGAACTGTGTGTGGATGGTAATTATTTCAGGGTTACAAATATATCAGAATGCAGATACAAATTCAAAAGCATTTTCTACAATTATTTACTTTTCAAATACAATGCCGACTTGTTAAACATATCAAGAGTCCTTGTCAGAGGCCATCAAATGCTGTTAGAATAACGTTTGTTATTCCAATTTGTATGCTTTCAAAACAAAATTGATCCACACTGTCTCTTTTCAGAAATAATGAGTTAGTTAACACATTTTTGAAATTTATTGTTAGTTTTTTAAATCCAACAAATTATTTTTCAACTATCTTTCAGTGCTTACAAAATGGTGAACAGTGAAACTGTGAAATCTATCTTGAGAAGTATGCAAATCGATGTATTTTGAGTGAAAGAGATCATAACCAGAAACTGTGCATTTTGAAAGAATTGGTACAGATGTGTACCTTTTACTACTAAGGAACATATATGTACCTTTCAGACAACAAAAAAGTACAGATAGATACTCAGATTACATATTGTCATGGTCTGGGGTGAGTCCTCCTCTCAGTGCTAAACCTTCTCTGAGTTTCTCCTGCAGGTGGGCGTGTCAAGGAGTGGACCAGCTGCAGTCCGTCTGCTCATCAGTTGGCCAGGGACATATAAGCTGCTGGGAGACATCTTCATTTGCTGGATGATCAGCTCAACTGGGTATCTTTGACTCCAAGCCTGTTTCTGAGTAATCTGAATAGATATCATCCAGGTTGTACTTCTAGCCAGATTGCTAGTTCCTGTGTGTTTTTCCGAGCGTGCCTGATTTTTGTAACCTGCCTCTTCTCCAGATTTCTACCACCACCTTTCACCCCATCCCGCAACCTACCGGACCAGTCCCACTGTCTCCCAGCCGGTCCCTGGCTGTCCACTCCTTGTCGACCACCCACCTTACCAGATTCTACTCTCCCCCCATCTCTAGATACTCCCCCCGGAGCCCCAGCTGAATTTTCCTGCTGCGCTTTTAGTTCACATTTTATAATTAAACCTTTTTTTTTTTACCATACTCAGACTATGTGAATGATTCTGCATGCCGTGGGTCAGACACCTTCCCCCAACATGACCCATATTCACCTCAGTGGACAGTCTGACCATGAACATGAAATATGTTGGCTTGACTTAGTCCAAGGTGGGGGTGGGGCTCAAATGCAATAAAGTACTCAACAGCTGTGCTTAATAGCAAAAAATAAAAATAAGTAAACATAACAATTTTGAGGAGCTGTCCACTGTAGTGACCATTATGCCTGAAAGAGTGAAGACCAAATTCACAAATTAATACTTTTGCAGCGGTCTCTGGTATAAAAGTCTACCTTGTGAGTTGATCCTGTGGGGGAAAAAGCTATGGCACTCCAGTTTCAGGAACTAGAAGTGAGCCAGTGGAGATGTCAGCAGAAAATTTAGAGTCTTTTTTTTCCCAGATATTACATCTGATATCGCATCGGGACAGACCCAGTTGGACACATCATGGACTCCTGGAAACAGTGGAACTTGATCTGTCTTTCTCAGCTGTCGGTGGAGGACTCTGAAGACGTGTTGATATTCGTGGTGTTGGTGTCAGGTTTCCTGCTCATTGGCCTTGGAGGCTACCTGGCTTACCGGAAAATTAATGAGCTGTCGAGGAATATTGGTCTGATCCCGGAGCTCAGAGATGGTTTGCACCCCGCTGTGAATTCACAGACTCAAATAATTGTCGAGATCAATCATAAGCTTGGGACTTTGGCGGAGATTCATTCTTTTGCACAAAAGATGGATGCCATCAAGGAGAGAGTGGACGAATCAGCACGGATTGGGATTCTGAGAGGTTGAGGACCAACAAACTGTGAGACAGAGAGGAAATTATCTCTGTCTAGCCCCAAAACAATTTCTAATCAGAATCTGGCGTCCTTGAGCCAGCAAGGCTCCAACGAAAACTCCCCCCTCAGAAGATATGTGGAATGTGCCGTCGCTATGGCAACTCAACTCTGTCTCCTTTCCCAGCCTGGGCGGGACTGCGGGAAGGCAGCTGAAGCATCCAGGGTCACTGCAACCTTCCAACCTTCAATGCTCCTCCCCCTATCCACACTGAGGTGACATGTGCTGCTTCATCGTGGCTGCAGGAACTGAAGTGGGGATAGTCCCAACCCACCACCCCACCTAGTGGACACTTATGTTGAGTTGTCTGAAGTCTGTTGCATATCTGTCTGACGCCGGGGACACACTGGCCGCGGAAGCGCTGCGAAAATGGGACCGCCTTCATTCGGCGCCCTTGTTAAGCTATTCTATAGACCACATGGGCTGCCGAAGCGCCGCGAATCGCCTCGCGCCGGCACGCGCCGTGCAGCGATCATTTCGGCGTTGGCTCTATTTTTTTCGCGAGCCGCGGGTGAATCGCGTCAATTCTGGCAGGAAGTCAAACGTAGACATAAGAGGCAGGCCGGTAAAGTTAACAAAACAAAGCATTTCAAAATAAAATTCCGCAATAGTCAAATGTGTTCGTAACAGACACTGCAGAAAAACCACACGAACACGCACACACATACACACACATCGAACTTGTGTGCGTGTGTGACCACGTGAAGGGGTGTGTGGTTTTGGGTGTCTTCACCAGAGCAAACAGGACAGAGAGGCAGAAAGTCTGAGCCGAGACGCGCCCCAGTCGAGGCGCGCCTGATCTGAACCGAGGAGCGGCGAGCAGCGGCCGAATTTCGTGAGCGATTCGCTTCTCGGCGCTTCGCGGCACTTCCGCGGCTGGTGTGTCCCCGGCGTGAGGTGTTGTTTTGCAGAGCAAAGCTGCCCTCCTGGTGGGAGGGTAACTCTGAAGTGCCTCTTTTCCCCTCCACCTGAACCAATCCTCATGTAACCCCTCTGACCTCTATTAAGAAAGCGCGACTCGGGTTGCGAATGACCACAGTCACCAAATCTTGTCATGTGTCTTGCCCATGTATGTCTGATCTCTGAATTGTGTGTACTGAAACTCTAATTTCCCTCTGGGATTAATAAAGTATCTTTGATTTGATTTGATTTGATTGATTGATTGATTGATTGACTGATTAACAACAATGTGACCTTTTAAGCCGAATTACTGAAATAAATGACCTTTTGCACCATATTCCAATTTTTCAAGTGTCACCTGTATGTCTCCTTCCCAGGTCTTTACTAAAAGTTCCCCAAATATCTAGGTGTGTATCTGTATTTACCTGAACTTTGTCCAACTTAGCAAAGTAAACTTAGCATAAAAAAGTCCCAAAATAAACCAGTATAACTGCACTTGGACACATGTGGGTATTTTCAGCCAAGGACCTGCATGCTGTCGAAGGAAAATTAAATAAAAGATAAAGAGAATCTCAAACTCAAAGAAAATAAATGAGCAAGTATTGCTTTAAAGGATCACTTCTTTCTATTAAGATGTTGAGTAAAACAATATGAAATATATTACTGAATAAGAGGTGTTCCTTTATTTTTAAAACAGATGGAACACCACACGATCTGATCAGGTGATTCAGACATGGTTAAAGACAGTGGGAACTCTGTCCCACAGTTTATCTGATAAAGAAGCTTTGGCATGGACTAATACATTTATTCTTAACTAGAAAAAGAAGGAATTCTCCCACAAAGTTGGGAGTGAAGTGGAGAAGTTCAAATATCTTCTTTGGTTCGTAGTTGATGAGAGTTTTGCTCTGGTCTATAGTGATGAAGAAGGAGATGAGATGACCACGTCCATTCTAACCCTCAACAATGAACTCCATATTTGTATCATGACAGATGAGCAAAATCCAAATGAGCTCCTTCCTTCGGGTGGTCGAGTTCAGCCTTAGACATATGGTGAGGAGCATCGTCATCTGAGGGAAACTCAGAATCGAATTGTTGCTCTTTTACATAAAATTCAGTAAGTTTGGGTTTAAGATCAGGTTTTCCAGGCACGTCCTACCAGAAAACAAGACTACAGGCAAGATTTTGAGCTTTTTAGAGCAAATAGTCTATCCTCTACTGCCTGAGGACCCGTTGGGATCTCCTGGGAGGAGCTGGAAAGTGGCATTGGGTTCCTTCTTGAAGCTGGTACACCCACAACCTGACCTGACCTTCACTACACGGCACATTTGTATTCAGTAAACGCTTTTTTCTAAAGAAGCTAACAACCCATGACACATTCTAGACTATTGTAGGCTAGAATGTCATACTTAAATATAGCGCTATGAAAGTGAAGACCTGAATCAACCCTCAGACAGAAAGATCTTCTGGATGCATGAGTTTGTGAACCAGTTTACACTGATAAGCTCATTTTATGAGTAATAAAATGGGTTAAACATGAACTAAAGCTGTTACTCAGTAAGAGCCTAACATGCCGCAAAACCAATCAACTAAAACGCTCTGAAAGCCAGGATTAAGACCTTTAGACGTTCTGTTTACATCCTAACAAACGTCACCTCAGAAGTCTTTGTTTTCTTTTATTCATGCTGGGGTTTTTTGCGCTTCCAGTGCAGTCTGGCTTCCTGGTAGAAAAGTACAAGGAAGTAATGACGCAAGACTTTTGAGCAGCACTGTAAATCTGTTTCATCACTCAGCCACACGTTTTCATTCGAAAGCTTCCTTTTGTAAATTATTTCCTACTTTTTAAGAAAATGAAACGAATACGACTGAGGACCAACAAAAGAAATTAACTGAGCGCTGAAAGGTGAAGGACAGGTTACACCCAGCGTTACCTGATACCTCTAGATTTTGTTAAGATGATCCCACTCCCTAAATGAAAGCGTGACGGGAACATTAGCAGACGTGCAGCCAAGCTCTCATCCAAGAAATTCCTGCGAATGTTTACTTTCACAAACACAGAAAGCTCTCAGATGACCTGCAGTGACTGACCACGCCTGAGGAGGAGCTGCGAGCTGGTTCCTATTGGTTGACTCAGTCAAGAATTAACAAGGGATATCATATGAGCCGGCATTCCCTCTCATCAAGCTTGCATGACAAGTTGCATGTGAGTCTGCGTGAGATCGTTTTTCTTCAGCTTCTTTGAAAGAACGTGGAAGAAGACAGTTTCAGGGGTGGAAGAAGACTGATAGATAAACGTGGATACGCTGTTAAAGAGCTCACATCTCAGTGTGGTTCAGACGGGGCAGACAGCATGACTTGCATTAGGTGTTCGGAGTTACTACCTTCCCTCCTCCTCCTCCTCATCCTCAATCGGGTCTGTGGTCAGGAACCAGAGGTCGCATTAAGAGAAGAGGGGAAAAACTTTGTGATGGGGTATTGCTTCGGATCGGATTACATTGTTGTGTATAAATCCGTTCCTGAAGGGCAAAAGCTGCTTGTCAACTCCTCAAACAAGAACCTGCTCAACACCCTTCCTGAAGACCTGCGGAGTCGCTTCCAC